GTATGGAAGCTGTCTGTGAAGGCTGTGTCTGACCAGAAAGATTTGTTAGTTGAGGCTTGTATTTTCTTAGCGATAGTGTTAGGTTCATGTTCATGAAGGAACCTAGAGAAGTTTGGTCCCTAAATATTGACATCTGCACTTCAGTTGCTAGATCCAATACATATTATTGAAAAATATTGAACTTTCACGTGTGTTAGCGAACAGAAAATCATTTGCCATATGATTAGCATTGTTGGATGAATATAACAGTGTCATTGAATTGAGTAATGAATGGTACCAGGATGTTCACTTGCTGAATTGATCGCAACATTTATTGCAACCAGTCAGAAAATTGTCAGTATAATCAAATAGCAATGTTTGCCAACGGTTCTATGGACATGTTTCGATAACTGAGAAGTTATCGAGAGAATACTTGTCCGTTGAAAACCATTTTGCAACTCTGTGAGGAAGAATTCTTCAATCTTTGAGAAATCTAGATGCACATGCTTTGCCATTTCTTGAACCTGATTGCAAATGTTGTTCTTTTGTATGTTGGATTCAATGGAATCATTTTTGTGCTTGATTCCATAGTTTTTAAACCCGGCCCGGTGGCTGACCCGGTCCAAGGCCCGGGTTCCGGGTTTTGACCGGGTCACCGGGTTTTGACCGGGTCAAACGGGTCAGCTGGGTCGTCAATTTCTATTTTAAAAAAAATTCAAAACGACGTCGTTTTAATAAAAAAATAAATAAAAGCCAACGGGTTACCACCGGGTTTTGCCGGGTCGACCGGGTTTCTGGGTCAACCTGCTGGATCGGCCGGGTCACGCCGGGTCATAGCTTACCTTATTTTTTCATCAACCCGACCCGGTTCCAGCCCCGGCTCAGCCGGATCCCGGGTCAACCTGCCGGGCCGGGCCAGGTTTTAAAACTATGCTTGATTCAGTGGACGAGAACCACTCTTGTGTTAATGCTTTAATGCACATGCTAATTTTTTTTAATAATTTTTATATTTATAAAAATACTAAATTTCCTTTCAATGCACTTCCTTGTAACAAAACATATATATAATGAAAATATGAAAAAGCCTTGAAAACCATTTTAGTAAATTATATTTTTAAGAGTATTTTGAGTATTTTACTGTATTAAAAAAATAAAAAGACTAAAATGTTCATAGATGTCAATTTAAATTTATTGCTTTCAAGGATAACTAAGTGATTTTATTATGAAAAAAAAGAGTGAGAAGACTAGTATAACTTATATTATTTTAGTAATACCAGTTCGTAAAAAAATCATATCCCCTCGCCTCAATTTTC